ATTAGTTTTGTTTACAATTAAGATGAAGGCCACATATTATGTAATAAAGCAAACACTCGACTAGACGTTCAGCAAAATCAGCAATGTGGGACAACTGCGAGGGATTTTGTGCAGTTGGGTGGTATGATAATGAGGGGTTCCTTCTTCAAATCATATGGCATTTTAATAGCCAGTTGATTACAGATAGCGATGATGCTAAGAGGCGCTACGGCAACCGAAGGCGATTTTGTCAGCTAATTGCACGTCTTACTCCTTAGCTTGTATTTGGGCTAATTAACCAGAGCAGATGATTTAATTTCATGCCGGTAACATTTTTAAAAATACATTCAGAAATTAAGACATTAAATCTGAAAACAATGTTTTGATGCAGAAATGTATTTAGGCCTTTAGAAAACCACTGCAGCTTTGAAAAGCCATGACATTGTGATTGTGTGAGTGAGTGTTCACCCAGTGATAGACTGGAATCCCATCCAGAATGTTCTGTGCCTTGTGTTCTGTGCCTCCTGGGGCAGGCTTCAGGTTCACCATGGTCTTGCTTGTATAAGCAGTTATGGATGATGTATAGATGTATTAAAATATGAATTATGCTATATGTACATGTTTTTTCTTCTTGAGTAAAAAAAAAATGACTCATCCCCTAAGGTAAAGGCATAAGAAGTAGAATAGATGTCATGGTTTGATTATATGGAAGTGTGAGATTGTTCAAGGGAATTCTTAATCAAGTCCGTCACAAATCCCCTGGGATTTCCTGCGTACGAGTCTTTGTGTCTGAAGCCGGCTGGCATTTAAAAAAAATATCTTATCAAGGTGACTAAATCTGATCAATGACTTTGCGTGCTTTCAGATGGGATAGTGGCAAATAAGGCTTCCGTCTTCATGGCAGTGAGGCACAACAGAGGATATAAATAAATACAGTACAAGTCTTCATAAACCATAAATCACTGATAAGTGAGTCGCAACCTCGGGTCTGCGGGTGATTTCTGGAGGTGCCATTTTCTGCCATCACAGCTAATTCTGATTAATGCCTTGCCGATGCTGTTTCTGCAGCTGAGAGGGATTTCACAACACACTGTACGCCATCCAAAATAAAAGTATCTATTGATTTTAGCATGGTTTAAGGATGCACAAAGGACTAGTATTTTGAAATTCTGATGTGCTGTACCTGTTTGAAGCTACGCATGCATGTAATGTCAGACGCTGGTCTGTTCAGTTCCATGGGCAGGTCACCTGTCACCTGACCCTTATGTGCAGAAGACTCTGGAAATTCTTCCTGCATAGCCCTGCGTTCAGTTTCACTACTTTCAGGTCTTCCTACGTACTGCAATACAGTGCATCCTACTCCAGATGGACTCCAAAGCCATGCTCTTGAATGAATATCCATTTACCATTTTTATAATTATAGGGCTACAAAATTAGCCTTTGCTAAATTACAAGGTTTTAGGCCGGATGAAGGAAAAATGAAAACGTGGTTGGAGATGCTTGCGGCGCCCGTGGTGACAGGGGTCAGCCTCCTGTCCACTTCCGTGAAGTCATCTGCGGCATTCTGTGGATCCTGTTTGGTTAAGGTTTAGAAGGGCTGACAATGAGCTGATGGCCTGGTAATATGCCATCCCCCCCCCCCCCCCTCCCCTCCCCTCCCCTTCCCCCTCCATCCCCTCAGACCTCCCACCATGGAGGATGGACTCGCCTGAGCAGTACACGCTGTTCCTGGCAGACAGACTTGCAATGCGGGCGGTTGCCGGGGTTTCGCGTCTCGCAGCGGGGCGGCGGGTGTGTGGACACTGTCACCCTCTCTCTCTCTCTCCCGCTCTCCGCTCACCTGCCCGTCACCATGGGAATAGCATGGCAGACGGCATGATGTTCCTCACTTGTGGCCGAGAAAGCGAGCTCCGTCTCGCAGTATGGATTTCACCACATCTTTAAAATCATCTGCTGTTCCTTCTGCTCGCACGGTCTGCCAAGTCTCTGTTTGCTTAGAACTGAAAACGAGGTCTGCTGTTCTATAAATGTCACTTAAAAATATTTTAAGAGTTCAAATTCTCTCCTTTTTTTTAGATTTTGTTAATTCAGTTTTTGTCAGGAAACATCTAAAGTGAGGTCTGTTTAGTTACTGTTTAGTTACTGTAGGGATTCAGGTTCAATTCCTTAACCACTATGCCACCTAGTTGACCATTTTGATGCAACGTCAGATGGCAATGTCCTCAGTAAAGTAGGGTCGGGGGGAGGGTGTCTTACTTCCTATAGAAACCCAGTCAGATTTTTTTGGGATGGTGGAGGGTTCAGGTCAGTTTTCTGTAGCATGTAGACCTTCAGGCAGCCTGCTACTTCATAGAAGACACCAGGACACAACGTGGAAAAAGCATGTATCACTCTGCCTTTGGCAACACAAAGGCCCTGTTGACTCCATATCAGTCCTAAAATAATAATAATAATAATAATAATAAAGAGTTTGGGGCCAGTTACACTAAAGGACCTGCCTGCTGAGAAGCCTGGTGTGAGGGGCAAACAGTGGATTACTGCTAGATGACTGGAGGGAGAGTGAGGGGGAGAGTTCAAGGGGTCAGAACTTCACTGGGGTAGGGGGTGCAAGGGGTAGGGGGTGCAAGGCCATGTGATGCTTTCAAGGCATGTAGTACTACACCCATTGTACGAATGCAAGGTTGGCCTTATTTTTTCCTCTGTGGTGCCCCCTACTGAAAAGACTGAGGATGCACCCACTGCCTGGTATCAGGAGTAACAGGGACATAACCCAAGTTTACAAAAAAAAAAAAAAAACGTTTAAAAATGAACAATTACGTCAGGCTGCCTACTAAAAAGCTCACGATGTAACCTAGACTTCAGAAAACACAATTGATTATATTATATGAAATGGGGACTTCTTGGAATTTCTCGCAATAACAGACATTTTGTCTTTATACCTTTATTTATTCTGTGAAATCACAGAACCGCAGCCCTCACAGTGCACATTTTGATGGGTTTGCATGATTACATACACGTTTTGATTGCCTTAGCAATCCTAAGTGTGATCTGCTGTTAGCCTCATTTATATGTTATGTTATTTAGAAATCTAAGCATACTCACACAGATTAAATACTCACATCAGGGACACCTATGTTCATATAGCTCACAGACATCGCACTTCACCCGTGTATAAGGTCAAAACTGGACCTACACAGAACCTCCTCAACTCCTTCGTCATTTCCCAGCCAAGCAGGAAGCTTCATCTACATTCTCATAAGTCCATGGAATATGAAGCTATCACCACTCTCTATTGGATGTGCATAAAATGGATATGAGGAGGTGTGACACCTTTCAGGCAGGCTTGCGACGGCTTCTTGGCGTTGGAAATGTACCAAAGACGCTCAGATGACATATAAATTATAAATGAAATCTCTCTGCACACAATTATTCCATCCAATCAATTTCCTTACTCTCTTGTACAGTGCAGGGTCATGGGAGTCTGGAGTCCCATGGAGAACCCAGGACAGGGTGCCATCGCAGGGCCCACTCACATGGGGGCGCTATAAAGGGCAATGTCAGGATAATTAAAAGGGCCCTAAAAATTTTGGGACATAATTGGATCTGTCTTGGTTGGATGCTAAATATTACTATGCTTCATTGGGCCCAAAATCTCTAATAGCCCTTCTGCAATGTAGTATACTAATCCACCTGAGTATGTTTGTGGAGCGTGGTGGGGATATCAGAGTACTTAGAGAACATGCAAATTCCACACACGTACAGCTGGGGAAGTCACTCAAACTGTGGTCTCCTGAGGTGTGAGGCAACACTGCTAACCACTATACTACCACGCTTATAAGCAATTATCTCATCATGAAATATATTGTGGGGAACAGATACTGTTTATTTAATTAAATCCTAGTTAGTCATTCCTTGTTATTATTTCTGCTGTTAACAATGGAGGATTCAGTGGTTTATTGTTTACAGACCGTAGCAGCAACCAGTGACTCCAGTGTATATGAGGCACAGCACAGGTTGGGGATCAGATCTGCGGCAACGTCCCACACGGGGTTTCAGGGAGAAGGATTAATCTTGTAAACTAAAGCAGCCCAGCTGTTGAAACCGATCAGTTCTTTGGCTTTGACTCATGAAGATGACATCACCGCCAAGGTGGACCCCCAGTGGCACAGTGAGCTGTCTCATCCATCCATCCATCCACCCATCCATCCTTCTGAGTGCCTATTCTGGTCATGGTCACAGGGTGTTATTGCGGCAGTAATTTGCCAGCAGCTATTTAAAGTTGACGAATGAATAGCCAGTTTTCTAGACGCAAGAGCATCTAGGTCGCTGTTAACGGAATAAATACTGTAAAATATGCAAATGAGCCACACAAAGAAATATATAAGTCAGATTGGATAAAGTATCTCTACTGTGTCTGCAGTGGTTACTGATTCTCCTCATTGATGATGTGTTCTAAATCTGGCCATGGGATTTTACTCATCTATAAACTGAAGCTGGCTAATGCAAACCTCCTGCTGTTTCTCTGTTTTTATTTTTATGTGTAGGGTTTCGCATAAGATGTCACCTTGTTAATATCCCAAATGTAAAATGAGAGTAGTGGAAAGCCATGGTGTACCCAGTAAGCATTACGGGGAGGGGGGGCAGGTTGAATGGCTGGTATTTCCCCAAAGACTTCCGACAAAAGACATTGCAACCCTGTCTACTGATTTTTTTTTTGTGACCCTTTTATTCTAAGAGACACACATTTCTGAGAAAGCTGGGTCAGTCAGTCTATGGAGCATTTGGGGGTTGAGGACCGGGCGCAGGAGGCTAACAGTAAAATGACCTTGCTACCCCCGGGATTCAAACCCACAACCTTCCAATAACAGGCTAAACATCCTAACCCACTGGGTCACACACCAACCCTCATTTAACCACAGTGTCCAAATGTGAGCTTTTATTGTATCTGCATCTGTTTACCTTCATGTCTGAACAAAATTCCCTATGTTAGTGCAAGGTTCTAAATACTATGTCAAAATTGGGATATGAACTTGGTATGATGTCACTCTGTTGACAGGCTGCAGTATGCAGAGCACTGTCTCAAGACGTGATGTAAGCAGTAAGGTGATGGTCCACCTCCCAAAACAAGGCTCTGTGTATTCACTCCTTTACTCATTCTTCACGTCTAAGTGTCAGTGTTGCTTAGAGTATGTTTATATGCTGCTGAGATTCAGCAATTAATTTTTCTCTTCTGCAGAGGACATCTGTCATTCCATACAGACCACTCCATTGGGTCCTGTTGTTCTGACAAGAGGACATTTAACAATCTCATGAGGTAGTGACCATTTCGCTTAACGACCTGGTTGTTGGAAAGGTACTGTAGTTGTGTACATCCTGTTGGGCCTGTTGTGTCTGCAGTGCTGTAGTCAACCTCTGGTGTGGGTGATGCTTAACACATGGCACCCACTTGGAAGCAGTAGCCACAAGCATGGGGATATTCAATTACCTTTGCCATTTTCCACCCTGTAAATATGTATCATTTTGAGATTAAGAGAGATTATGTCAGGATCAACTGTGACTCAGAATGAGGTCACCCACTGAGTGGAGTGTTTGTTCTTGTCTCCTGTAGAATGAGTGACTCATGCAAACTGCCAGTAGACGCTGTCTTGTCATCGTTATTTATGCTGCTATTATTTAAGAAGCCATCCCACTCTTGAGTAAATCTGTAATAGAGAAGTTTGATGATGTCATATCACATTAAATGATTATAAAATACACAGTCCATGGCTGTCTAAAATGCACAGCCATTTCAAAGTGTACAACTTACATCATGGCTTTAGTTGTCCATGACTTTGTTAGCAGTCTCCCACTATCGACTGGAAACTTTTACCCTTGTGTTCAGTGATGTCATATTCACCCTTGGTAGGACATTTGTCACATGACGCAGCTTTCATCTGGAGTTACAAATTTACATAGCCATATATGGGGAAAAAATGCTAATCGGGTTTTAAAGTGTGGAGGCTTCAGCATCTTCAACCATTTGGGGGCATTAAACGTGCTCGTCATATTGCCTCATTGAGATAAAATGAGAAAATGTCTGTCATATTACTGTCATCAATGTAAAAACATACAAACATATCGAATCCTCAAATTTAAATACTGCAGCAAAAATAATTGGCTGCATCCCTACAAATAACTGCGGACTTGGTTGGTTTCCTGGTGTGTGTTTTTTCATCTTCCAGACCCCATGTGCCCCTGCATAATTCTGCATTCTAAATAAAGTAATAGATAAATTGTGACCTTGAAGCTGCACAGCTGTGGAGAATGAAAGACAGTATCCAGGGCCGGTAATCCGTATGCATTCATGCCACGCTGAGAGAATATGTTTTCATCTCACTGCGTTCATAAAAGACTGCATGCTTTCCACTGGACACACAGTCTTGTTTATTTGTGGCTTGTGTTTGGAAACATGACCAAGGAGGAGCAAGACATCTGAGAAGTAATCTTACTATGCCAAAAACCTCACCCGGCTCTTTATAGAATGTGCATAATGTTAGACATTTCTCATAAATTCCCCCAAAGGCCCCTAAAGTGATGAAATGCAAAGACAGAACAGCACACCTGAAGGTATGAACTCCATTCAGTAACACTGGCTGCAATTTAATGCATCTATAGGTTACTTATAAAACTACATGGCCTTATGCTAAACAAAGTCCTGAAAGAAAACATGGTCTGATTTCCAGTTTTAGAAGGCTTTTAGTAAATCACGGTCAGCTGTTATATTCCAGAAACCTTCTACAGTCAAGTCCAAAGAAAAGAAGCAATGGTATTTTATCATTCTATCCAGATTAAACATTTTACCACAAGCAAATCAATTTTAAAAAGCAATGCTTGGTTGTTTTCTTTTTGTCTTCCTAAAACATGATAGGTCCTTGGGATGGATAGACTGCTACCAAGAAAAATTCTCCAACAGAGGGCAACGTCTGCAGCATAAACGGCGCAGCAAACGCATAACTTGTAAAAGCAAAGACAAAAACAATAGGGATCCAGTAGCTTGGACCGCTAATTAGCCCAGTGGTTTGGAAAACAGTCCGTAGGATTCATGGCTCCAAAGTGCTTCCTACCAGCTTCCTGAAAGACCAAGGTGGGTGGATTAGCCTTGCATAACAGCCCTATCTTTTGTTCATTATCCTATAACTGTCCAGTGAAAACAACTGCTTTAAATAGCACAGAGAGCAAATTTAGCAACAAATGTCCCAGCCTCACCAATACTGGAACTCAGACGGCCAATTCTGCTGTGTTTTGTGTGGCTCCTTTTGTAGGGGTTACATTCGTTTTGCATCCATGATTAATGGTCATTTATGTTTTTCAGATACAAGTCTGACTTTGCTACTAAAGGTCACTTGCCATCTTTCCAATATGCCTAGCCATAAACCAAAGTGTGCATAATCCTACGTCATCATCCAGAGAGAAATGCCATATTTGTATGATATTAATTAAATCCTCAATCCAGAAAATCAATCTCCATATTTTAGATCACAAAAAGTTTGTGACCATGAGGGTTAAAATGTACTATTTAAAATATCTTAAAAGTTGCAACCATCAAGTGGTTTTACGGAATCTCAGGTTAGTTTGATAGAGTTTGATGTGCAATTTGTTACCCCTGGTTGACTCCTTTGCTGACAGACACAGGACACTTCACTGCTTTAACCTACAGATATGTATTTATTTTTAAACCAGTTTAAGTCAGTCTTCTATGATTATAGCTAAGTATTTTTTCTGCTTCTGATTATTATATTACAGCTGCATTCATTTTTAATATAGCGTCACTACATGATTTTTTAAAGATGCAGAGCATTTTGTTTTCGAGTACTCTCTGATCATGCCAGCAGTGCTACTGAGTTTCTTAAAAACTGCAGCTTTACAGAAGACAGGACAGCAGGATAAACACAATTGAAAGAAATGGAAAGTGACATCTAATTTGCACTATATAGCTTTTGGGATTTACATAAAGTGACTGTAAACTGCATTTATCCATGTTCATTTCCTGAAGACTTACAAGCCTGCATTTTGGCTTCTGAATAGGGCTGAGTGTAAATTAATATAATTAAGTTACATAAAATGGCCACATTACATTAACTGAGGAGGTGTAACAATATCCAAAATATTACACACCAAGTTATGATCCCTCAAAGCAGTTTAGTGGCACAAGGCCAAGTGAATAATAACCAGAAAAAATGGTAACAGCATGAAGCATGAACATGGACTTATGGGTGAAGGGACAGAACTGTATGAAGAACTCTGTGACCTGCACTGGACATAGGGTTATCGGAGAATGGACAGAACCGTCTGAAGCACACCAAGACCTGCACTGGACATAGGGTTATCGGAGAATAGACAGAACCGTCTGAAGCACACCAAGACCTGCACTGGACATGGGATTATGGGAGAATAGACAGAACCGTCTGAAGCACACCGTGACCTGCACTGGACATGGGATTATGGGTGAATGGACAGAGCCGTCTGAAGCACACCGTGACCTGCACTGGACATGGGGTTATGGGTGAATGGACAGAACCGT